TAACAGGAATGCAACAGTACCTCCTGCTTAACCATTCCATTCTGCAGGCTTGATTAATTTCCGATTGTCAGTGCTGCTTATTTTTGAAATAAAATGAAATTGTTTCATAAAACACACATTTTTCAAGCAATCTGGCTTTCAATAGAAACATAAGAAACACGTTTAGAATATCTCAATTCAGAGATACTGAAAGGGTGCAGGGGCTGATCAATATTTAAAATAGAGAGCTGCACTTCCTCTAAGATCCCTATTTATGAAGTTGTTTTACTCCTTATTCATACATTTTTGTTTGTTTGTTTTCCCCCCTCTAGTTTCACAGCACACTGATTCCTTTCAAAACATAGCTGACCCCACAAATCTTCAGCCTCAAAAGGGTGGTGGTGAGCAGTCATGGGAAGGGCACCCAGTACTTCAGATTACACCTGTGATTTCTTTGTTATACCTGAGAGATATTCCACTCTTAATTCCAAAGGAATTAGATGGAGGTAATCCATCCCTTGAAGGTCTTTGAATGATAAACAGGACAAACAGTGAAATCCTAGCCTCACTGGAGTCAATTAAGACAGAATTTCACTTCAAATGTTTAATTGTAGCTTGAGGTGACAGCTACTAGTATACCAAATGCTATATGTACATTTCATACTACTTTGAGTAGTAATACACACACACACACACACACCTAGTAGGAATCGTATGTACGCACATCTCCACATTGGATTATTTTTCCTGGAGTTATTTTTAACAGCCAAGGCAGCTGACTTCTGATGCTTGAATCTGAGCAGAGTTAGTATGGCACAGAAATGTTGACAATGAACATAGATGACAACTATGGGATGTATTCAACCCCACTGCAGGTTCCTTAGAGTTTTGTTATTCTGAATTATAGACCTGGGGGAGGGGGGGGAGGAGAGAGAAGAGAGGGAATTGAATGAAAAAAAAAGTCAAGTCTATTATTCCCTGGATACAGACATGATTACAGGTAACAATTTCTAGAACAAAATTGTGTAAAAGGTCAGTAAGTTGTACCAAACACCATGATTTGATAAACATTTAATCAAAATCATCAGAAAAACAAGAACTACAGATGTTATGAATAGATTTTATAAAAGGGTGGGTGGGGGGCAGAACCTCAGCTAGTGAAAGTCATGTAAATCTCTCTTGAAGATCCAATCCTCAATGCTTGCAACAAAACTGGTAATACAGAGAGGTCAAAGAAGAAAGCTCTGCTCCCTGTCAGTTAGAAAATCTGGCTCCTTCATTACCAGTATGCCACCTTGACATCCAATTTATTAAAGCACTTTCTCCCCCACGATAAACATCACTCAGTTACTTCTCTCTTCCCAGATGTTTAGCTTCCCTCCCCAAATTAAAAAAGTTCTTCTCACCAAAAATAGAAATTGGAAATAGCAGAAGAATGGCAGCTTTCAGAAAAGTGAAATCTGAGAAATTAAGAAATGTAGGTATTACTGTCTGCTACTAAGATATATTAGGACTCACCACACAATGGAAGAGCTCACTGAAACCTAAACACATAAAAAATACTCCATATTCTAGTTCCTGAGAAAAAACAATGCAAGGATTAAGTGGCTAGTGTACCTTTCTGAAGGACTGTCAAACAGAAGAATTTAAATACATATATATCTAAATGCCTTATTTAAATACAAACTAATGAAGCAGAAAACAGACATATGTAGCCTGTTCCTGCGCCACTGAAGTCAATGGAATTTCTGTTATTCTCTTCAGGGGAAGCAATAGTTATCTCATTAGCATTATCTACCCTACTTTCAGAAGTTTTTAATCTTACAGGTTTGTACTTTTAGGGCCTGATTGTGACAGAGCTGGCATGGCTGTGTAAAGCAGAAAGTGGGCACAGTGTACAGCAGCCACTTACAAAGCAACTGTGCAGCCCATTTCCCTTCACACAAGTGGCTGGAAAGAGGTTGGATGCATCAGGGAGAGGCAGAATCTGGGGTCCACCTTCCATGCACATGAAGCAGTGCAGCTCATTGAGAAGCACACTCTGCATTGAATAAAGATGTGCAAAATTTGCCTCCTTCCCGGATCACTGAGGAGGCCCACACAGAGGCTGTGACTCAGAAGATCACAATCTTTCTCCAAGGCTGCTCCAGGGTCAGCACAACACACAGCCACTTTAGGATGTGCTTTAGGAGGTGAAGAGCAATCTGTCCAATCAGTGTAAGGCCAAAGAGTAATGAAAAAAGCATAACCTTTTAAATAGCAGAAAGAGTTTAACATAAAATGGTTTATAAATACATTGGGTAAGAGGCCTCAAAAGTACAAAGGAGAAATTAGGTCCATTAAATAAGTGTGGTGAAATGAATAACTATAAAAATCTGCTTTCAATTAGAAAGGTAAAATAAACATTTAGACAGTAACTGTGGAGGTAAGTGTGATAGGCTCGGTCACAGAGACACCCTTGGGACTGTCACCTGATGTGCTGAAACTACCTCTGAGCCCATTTTTTTCTTTGCTGGCTTGGGACTCCAGAACCCTGCCTTGTTGAGGCAGAAAGGCTAGCTTGCTGCAACATAGACCCAGGGTCTGAACCACGTCCCCAAAGAATCATAGAATATCAGGATTGGAAGGGACCTCAGGAGGTCATCTAGTCCAACCCCCTGCTCAAAGCAGGACCAATCCCCAATTAAATCATCCCAGCCAGGGCTTTGTCAAGCCTGACCTTAAAAACTTCTAAGGAAGGAGATTCTACCACCTCCCTAGGTAACGCATTCCAGTGTTTCACCACCCTCCTAGTGAAAAAGTTTTTCCTAATATCCAATCTAAACCTCCCCCACTGCAACTTGAGACCATTACTTCTTGTCCTGTCCTCTTCTACCACTGAGAATAGTCTAGAACCATCCTCTCTGGAACCACCTCTCAGGTAGTTGAAAGCAGCTATTAAATCCCCCCTCATTCTTCTCTTCTACAGACTAAACAATCCCAGTTCCCTCAGCCTCTCCTCATAACTCATGTGTTCCAGACCCCTAATCATTTTTGTTGCCCTCCGCTGGACTCTCTCCAATTTATTCACATCCTTCTTGTAGTGTGGGGCCCAAAACTGGACACAGTACTCCAGATGAGGCCTCACCAATGTTGAATAGAGGGGAACAATCACGTCCCTCCATCTGCTCGCTATGCCCCTACTTATACATCCCAAAATGCCATTGGCCTTCTTGGCAACAAGGGCACATTGCAGACTCATATCCAGCTTCTCGTCCACTGTCACCCCTAGGTCCTTTTCCGCAGAACTGCTGCCTAGCCATTCGGTCCCTAGTCTGTAGCTGTGCATTGGGTTCTTCCGTCCTAAGTGCAGGACCCTGCACTTATCCTTGCTGAACCTCATCAGATTTCTTTTGGCCCAATCCTCCAATTTGTCTAGGTCCCTCTGTATCCTATCCCTGCCCTCCAGCGTATCTACCACTCCTCCCAGTTTAATATCATCCGCAAATTTGCTGAGAGTGCAATCCACACTGTCCTCCAGATCATTTATGAAGATATTGAACAAAACCGACCCCAGGACCGACCCCTGGGGCACTCCACTTGACACCGGCTGCCAACTGGACATGGAGCCATTGATCACTACCCGTTGAGCCCGACAATCTAGCCAACTTTCTACCCACCTTGTAGTGCATTCATCCAGCCCATACTTCTTTAACTCGCTGACAAGAATACTGTGGGAGACCGTGTCAAAAGCTTTGCTAAAGTCAAGAAACAATACATCCACTGCTTTCCCTTCATCCACAGAACCAGTAATCTCATCATAGAAGGCGATTAGATTAGTCAGGCATGACCTTCCCTTGGTGAATCCATGCTGACTGTTCCTGATCACTTTCCTCTCATGAAGTGCTTCAGGAGCTGCAGACTTAGCTGAATACAGCTCAGCAAGTACTCCTGTCTTCAGCACCCAACTCTGATTGGGATCCAAATCCCACATAAATCCATTTTACTCTGTATAAAGCTTATACAGGGTAAACTCATAATTGTCCACCCTCTATAACACTGATAGAGAGATATGCACAGCTCTTCGCTCCCCCAAGTATTAATCACTTACTCTGGGTTAATGAAATCACTTGTTTATTAATTATTATTATTATTAATTATTAATTAAGTATAAAAAGTAAGATTCAGGTCACTTCAGGTAATAACAAACAGATCAAAGTAAGTGCATGGGTCACAACAAAAAGTAATATTCGCTCTTCAGATACTCCCACCTTCTTGTTAACTGTTGAGAATAGACCACTTCCACCTTAATTGAATTGGCCTTGTTAGCACTGACCTCCCACTTGGTAAGGCAACTCCCATCTTTTCACATGCTGTGATATATATACAGCTTACTATATTTTTCACTCCATGCATCTGATGAAGTGGGTTTTATGAAAGCTTATGCCCAAATATATTTATTAGTCTCCAAGGTGCCACAAAGGACTACTTGTCATTTTTGCTGATACAGACTAACACGGCTACCACTCTGAAACCTGAGAATTAAGTAAGTTACCAAGCAAAAAAAAAAAAAAACATGCAAGTCTAAGCCTAATACATTAAGAAACTGAATACAAGTAAAGCTCATCCTCAAAGATGTCCCAATAAACTTTTTCACAGACTAGTCTCCTTCCTGGTCTGGGCCCAATCCTTTCTCCGGTACAGTTCTTGTTAGTTCCAGCTCAGGTGGTGACTAGGGGATTTCTCATGACTGACAGCCCACTTGTTCTGCTCCACCCCCTTTTATAACTTTGGCACAAGGCAGGAATCTTTTGTCACTGTGGATCCCCACCCCTCCTTCTAAATGGAAAAACACTAAGCCCTGGTCTACACTAGGACTTTAGGTCGAATTTAGCAGCGTTAAATCGATTTAAACCTGCACCCGTCCACACAATGAAGCCCTTTATTTCGACTTAAAGGGCTCTTAAAATCGATTTCCTTACTCCACCCCTGACAAGTGGATTAGCGCTTAAATCGACGTTGGCGGCTCAAATTTGGGGTACTGTGGACACAATTCGATGGTATTGGCCTCCGGGAGCTATCCCAGAGTGCTCCATTCTGACCGCTCTGGACAGCGCTCTCAACTCAGATGCACTGGCCAGGTAGACAGGAAAAGAACCGCGAACTTTTGAATCTCATTTCCTGTTTGGCCAGCGTGGCAAGCTGCAGGTGACCATGCAGAGCTCATCAGCAGAGGTGACCATGATGGAGTCCCAGAATCGCAAAAGAGCTCCAGCATGGACCGAACGGGAGGTACGGGATCTGATCGCTGTTTGGGGAGAGGAATCCGTGCTATCAGAACTCCGTTCCAGTTTTCGAAATGCCAAAACCTTTCTGAAAATCTCCCAGGGCATGAAGGACAGAGGCCATAACAGGGACCCGAAGCAGTGCCGCGTGAAACTGAAGGAGCTGAGGCAAGCCTACCAGAAAACCAGAGAGGCGAACAGCCGCTCTGGGTCAGAGCCCCAAACATGCCGCTTCTATGATGAGCTGCATGCCATTTTAGGGGGTTCAGCCACCACTACCCCAGCCGTGTTGTTTGACTCCTTCAATGGAGATGGAGGCAATACGGAAGTAGGTTTTGGGGACGAAGAAGATGATGAGGAGGAGGTTGTAGATAGCTCACAGCAAGCAAGCGGAGAAACCGGTTTTCCCGACAGCCAGGAACTGTTTCTCACCCTAGACCTGGAGCCAGTACCCCCCGAACCCACCCAAGGCTGCCTCCTGGACTCAGCAGGCGGAGAAGGGACCTCTGGTGAGTGTACCTTTTAAAATGCTATACATGGTTTAAAAGCAAGCATGTGAAAGGATTACTTTGCCCTGGCATTTGCGGTTCTGCCTTTGCAAAAGGTTTCTGGGGAGGGCAGCCTTATTTCGTCCTTCATGGTAGGACACTTTACCACTCCAGGCCAGCAACACGTACTGGGGAATCACTGTAGAACAAAGCATTGCAGTGTATGTTTGCTGGCATTCAACCAAAATCCGTTCACGCGGTGGGAGGAGGCAAAATGCGACCTTGTAACGAAAGCACATGTGCTATGTATGTAATGTTAACAGCAAGGTTTACCCTGAAAGAGTGTAGCGACTGTTTTATAAAATGTGTCTTTTTAAATACCGCTGTCCCTTTTTTTTTCTCCACCAGCTGCATGTGTTTCAATGATCACAGGATCTTCTCCTTCCCAGAGGCTAGTGAAGCGTAGAAAGAAAAAAAAACGCACTCGAGATGAAATGTTCTCCGAGCTCATGCTGTCCTCCCACACTGACAGAGCACAGACGAATGCGTGGAGGCAAATAATGTCAGAGTGCAGGAAAGCACAAAATGACCGGGAGGAGAGGTGGAGGGCTGAAGAGAGTAAGTGGCGGGCTGAAGACAGGGCTGAAGCTCAAAGGTGGCGGCAGCGTGATGAGAGGAGGCAGGATTCAATGCTGAGGCTGCTGCAGGACCAAACCAGTATGCTCCAGTGTATCGTTGAGCTGCAGCAAAGGCAGCTGGAGCACAGACTGCCACTGCAGCCCCTCTGTAACCAACCGCCCTCCTCCCCAAGTTCCATAGCCTCCACACCCAGACGCCCAAGAACGCGGTGGGGGGGCCTCCGGCCAACCAGCCACTCCACCACAGAGGATTGCCCAAAAAAAAGAAGGCTGTCATTCAATAAATTTTAAAGTTGTAAACTTTTAAAGTGCTGTGCTTAAAGTGCTGTGTGGCATTTTCCTTCCCTCCTCCACCACCCCTCCTGGGATACCTTGGTAGTCATCCCCCTATTTGTGTGATGAATGAATAACGAATGCATGAATGTGAAGCAACAATGACTTTATTGGCTCTGCAAGCAATGATTAAAGGGAGGAGGGGAGGGTGGTTAGCTTACAGGGAAGTAGAGTGAACCAAGGGGGGGGGGGTTCATCAAGGAGAAACAAACAGAACTTTCACACCGTAGCCTGGCCAGTCATGAAACTGTTTTTCAAAGCTTCTCTGATGCGTACCGCGCCCTCCTGTGCTCTTCTAACCGCCCTGGTGTCTGGCTGCGCGTAACCAGCAGCCAGGCGATTTGCCTCAACCTCCCACCCCGCCATAAACGTCTCCCCCTTACTCTCACAGATATTGTGGAGCACACAGCAAGCAGTAATAACAGTGGGAATATTGGTTTCGCTGAGGTCTAAGCGAGTCAGTAAACTGCGCCAGCGCGCCTTTAAACGTCCAAATGCACATTCTACCACCATTCTGCACTTGCTCAGCCTGTAGTTGAACAGCTCCTGACCACTGTCCAGGCTGCCTGTGTACGGCTTCATGAGCCATGGCATTAAGGGGTAGGCTGGGTCCCCAAGGATACATATAGGCATTTCAGCATCCCCAACAGTTATTTTCTGGTCTGGGAATAAAGTCCCTTCCTGCAGCTTTTGAAACAGACCAGAGTTCCTGAAGATGCGAGCATCATGCACCTTTCCCGGCCATCCCACGTTGATGTTGGTGAAACGTCCCTTGTGATCCACCAGAGCTTGCAGCACTATCGAAAAGTACCCCTTGCGGTTTATGTACTCAGCGGCTTGGTGCTCCGGTGCCAAGATAGGGATATGGGTTCCGTCTATAGCCCCACCACAGTTAGGGAATCCCATTGCAGCAAAGCCATCCACTATGACCTGCACATTTCCCAGGGTCACTACCCTTGATATCAGCAGATCTTTGATTGCGTGGGCTACTTGCATCACAGCAGCCCCCACAGTAGATTTGCCCACTCCAAATTGATTCCCAACTGACCGGTAGCTGTCTGGCGTTGCAAGCTTCCACAGGGCTATCGCCACTCGCTTCTCAACTGTGAGGGCTGCTCTCATCTTGGTATTCATGCGCTTCAGGGCAGGGGAAAGCAAGTCACAAAGTTCCATGAAAGTGCCCCTACGCATGCAAAAGTTTCGTAGCCACTGGGAATCGTCCCAGACCTGCAACACTATGCGGTCCCACCAGTCTGTGCTTGTTTCCCGAGCCCAGAATCGGCGTTCCACAGCATGAACCTGCCCCATTAGCACCATGATGCATGCATTGTCAGGGCCCATGCTTTCAGAGAAATCTGTGTCCATGTCCTGATCACTCACGGGACCGCGCTGACGTCGCCTCCTCGCCCGGTATCGCGTTACCATGTTCTGGTGCTGCATATACTGCTGGATAATGCGTGTGGTGGCTTAATGTGCTCCTAATTGCCAAAGTGAGCTGAGCGGGCTCCATGCTTGCCGTGGTATGGCGTCCGCACAGAAAAAAGGCGCAGAACGATTGTCTGCCGTTGCTCTGACGGAGGGAGGGGCGACTGACGACACGGCTTACAGGGTTGGCTTCAGGGAGCTAAAATCAACAAAGGGGGTGCCTGTACATCAAGGAGTATTTCAGGCAGGACTGCACGGAGGGTTCCAATAAGAAATGGTGCACCTAAGTTATCGTTGTTATTGGAACAAGGAGGTTAGCCTGGCCTCTGATTGATACATGGCTAGATTTACCTCGCTGCACCTTCTCTGTGAGTGACTGCAGTGTGACCTAGAGGAATGAGTCCCCTAGACAGGGGAGGAGGCAAATGAGTACAAAACAAATCTGGTCTATTTCTTGTTTTGACCCACTCCATCTATCTTTTACATCTTTGGCTGGCAGCAGACGGTGCAGAAGGACTGCATGCCATCCACATCTCATGGCTGCTCGGCAGAAGATGGTACAGTACGACTGCTAGTAGTCCGTATCGCCTGCCCGCTCACCATAAGACGGTTCAATAGGACTGACTGCAGGACTAAAGAGAATGACCTGCTCAAGTCACTCCAAATTTAGTCCCTGTGCCCATGTCTGCCCAGGCGCTCCTGATCGACCTCACAGAGGCGACCAGGAGCACCTCAGACATGACGATGACGGCTACCAGTCGTACTGTACCGTCTGCTGCCACAAGGCAAGGGGTTGCTGCTACTGTGTAGCAATGCCGTACCGCGTCTGCCAGCACCCAGGAGACATAGGGTGACGGTTACCTGAGCGGGCTCCATGCTTGCCATGGTATGGCGTCTGCACAGGTAACTCAGGAAAAAAAGGCGCGAAATGATTGTCTGCCCTTGCTTTCACGGGGGGAGGGAGGGAACGGGGGGCTGACGATATGTACCCAGAACCACCCGCGACAATGTTTTAGCCCCATCAGGCATTGGGATCTCAACCCAGAATTCCAATGGGCAGTGGAGACTGCGGGAACTGTGGGATAGCTACCCACAGTGCAACGCTCCGGAAGTCGACGCTTGCCTCGGTACTGTGGAAGCGCTCCGCCGAGTTAATGCACTTAATGCACTTAGAGCATTTTCTGTGGGGACACACACACTCGAATTTATAAAACCGATTTCTAAAAAACCGACTTCTATAAATTCAACCTTATTCCGTAGTGTAGACATACCCTATGTTTAAGATGGATTCCAGTTCAGGTGACATGATCACATGTCACTGTAAGACCTTCTTCTTCATTACCCAGTTGTAGCAAAGCTGAGATTCACCAGCATGGCACCTCCTGCTGAACATCTTGGGAATTAGCTCTCCAGCCTCCAGAGCTCCTACTGCTGGGCGACGTCTCACTTGCCTCAGGCCCCCATGTTCCTCCCGGACCCCAGTGCCCTTTACCTTGGGTCTCCCCTCCCAGTGGAGCCCCCAACCCTCTCATCCACCTTGTCTCAGTGGCTACTGCTAGTCATCTAGCCCCTGCTCACTGGTGCAAACTGCAGTCTGTCATGGCCACTCATCATTGGCAAGGGGTTAGGACCAGTTGCCTCTGCCTATTCCCAGGCTGCACCTCTGTAGCCCCAGTACCTTTGTAGGCCTTACACAAGGACTGCAGCCTGGGGAGTTACCAGGATGGAGCTCCCCAGCTCCTCTTGCCTTTCCCCAGCACTACTGTACCTTAGGTACCCTTCTCTCCCAGGCAGCCAGGTCCTTCTCTCCAGAGAGAAAGAGAGACTGACTCAGCTCCTGGCTCACAGCCCTTTTATAGAGCCAGCTGTGGTCTGACTGGGGTGTGACCCCAGCTCTGGCTGCTTCCCCAATCAGCCTAGCCTTTCACAGGAGTGGGGTAACTGCCCCACTACATAGTAGTTGGAAGACAGGTACATAGGAAGGCTTGCAGGTAAACCAACCCATTCACAGTTCATTGATTCTGAAGCATCCTTAATGGCTTACATTTCACAGGTTTACATCAGTAACACAAGTTTATGTCTTATTCTCCTAACTCCAGACTCAGGGCTTGTCTACACTTACATTTTACAGCGCTCTAACTTCCTGGCTCAGGGGAGTGAAAAATCACCCCACTGAGCGCAGCAAGCCTGAGCACTTTAAAGCGCTAGTGTGGACAGGTTCTGAGAGTTCGGAGCTGTGCTCCCAGCACTCAGAGCTGATCCCCCTCGTGGAGGTGGATTACCAGGAGCGCCAGGAGAGCTCTCTCCCAGCGCTCGCAGGTCACCACACTCGCACTTCAAAGCGCTGCCACTGGAGCGCTCCTGCAGCGGCGCTTTGAAGTTTCATGCCCATAGAAATAATACATGCAAACAAATCGTAAAACAGTGACTGATAAAGAAGAGGCAAAGACTACTTGGAACACCTGCTGTTCAAGAGAAAAACATAATTTGGATGATTTGCATACCAAGTGTCAGGGTTCCTTCCCCACTCCGAACTCTAGGGGACAGATGTGGGGACCCGCATGAAAGACCCCCTAAGCTTTTTCTTACCAGCTTAGGGTAAAACTTCCTCAAGGTACAAACTTTGCCTTGTCCTTGAACCCTATGCTGCCACCACCAAGCTTGTTAAACAAAGAACAGGGAAAGAGACCACTAGGAGACGTCTTCCTCCCAAAATATCCCCCCCAAGCCCTACACACTCCCTTTCCTGGGGAGGCTTGAGAATAACATCCTAACCAATTGACTACAAAAATCATCAAAGACCCAAACCCCTGGATCTTGGAACAATGGAAAAAAATCAGTCAGGTTCTTAAAAGAAGGATTTTATTAAAAAAAAAAAAAAAAGAAAGAAAAAAGAAAGGTAAAAATCATCTCTGGAAAATCAGGATGGAAAATACTTTTCAGGTTATTCAGATTCAAACCACAGAGGATCCCCCTCTGGGCAAACCTTAAAGTTACAGAAAACAGGAATAAACCTCCCTCTTAACACAGGGAAAATCCACATAAAACAAAAGATAAACTAATCCTCCTTGCCTGGTTTACCTATACTGGTTACAATATTGGAGACTTGGATTAGGATGGGTTGGAGAAGATGGATTTTTGTCTGGCCTTTCTCAGTCCCAAGAGAGGACAACCATGTAAACAAAGAGCACAAACAAAAGCCTTCCCCCCACCCCCCTAAGATTTAAAAGTATCTTGTCCTCTTTTTGGTCCTTTGGGTCAGATGCCAGCCAGGTTAGCTGAGCTTCTTAACCCTTTACAGGTAACAGGATGTTGCCTCTGGCCAAGAGGGATTTTATAGCACTGTATACAGAAAGGTGGTTACCCTTCCCTTTATATTTATGACACCAAGTTATGGAAAACTAATTTCAAAAGAGACTGGAGAAAGAAAACCAACTGAATCTTCAAAAATAAAATAATCCTGGCAACCATCATCCCATATTTGAAAGGTGTAAGTATCAAGAAGGCTATGGCATTTTTGAGGCTAATAAAAGGGGTTATGTGCTAATTAAGTGAAAATTTTAAGATGTGTGTTAAGGATTTTC